CTGAGCTCAATCCTTGGCACTGCAAGATCACAGGCAGAATGGGAGAGCTCTTCCTGGCAGTAACAGCGTGAGCGCAAGGAGAGGTAAAGCAGTTCTAACAGATGCAGTTTAACCTGTTCCTACAGATCCATGATGAGATTCCACAGCTCACCCGCGCAGCCTAATCTGCTCCTTAACTAGCCTTATAACATCTAAAAAGTGTTTCTTAATATCTAACCTGACTGTCCCTCAGTGTGGTGTGATCCCATTACTTCTTGTCCTAGCTGTTCATCCTCGTGAAAACAAAGAAGACTTCTTGCTTTTACTATGTTTTACAAACTTCCTTGGTTGTATATTGTGGCACTGAGGGTGAAATTTTGGACTTGTTTTTACTGAATTGCCTTCTATTTACATTGGACATAGTGTTCCAGTTTCACAAGATTGTCTTGAACTCTCATCTGGACTTATGGTAGTCCTTCCACTCTGGAATGAGCTACAAAGTCAGTGAGTAAGCACTCTTTTCCATCTTGCATGTCACTGTGGAAAATACCAAGTATCAGAGGTTCTCAGGCTCACCTGTGTGGAGCCCTGCACTCCATATAATCTTTCAACCAACTAGCACAGTTTCTCAATCAGATGTGCACCAAACTTAGAGTAGTTTCATCCAGGCCATGTTTGTCTTTCTGTTGCAATAAAAGTGTTACATAAAAAGATAGAGAGATATAACATGTACTGGATCTTTTGCAGCCACCCAGCCTATTACTCTGTCCTTGGAGGAGATTGATGTGATTTGTTCCTAACAAGTGCAGCTCAGCAGTTTCTTTTTTCCTTGTTGGACACAAATAATCTGGTACCTTAAGGAATAAAGATTTTCTTCTCCATTGGGAACAGACTAACATTCTTCTTGATCTCTCTTCCAATATCTGTATACTTAGATCAGCTCTTGATTGTCACATCATGTTTATCTTACTGTATTTACTCCTCAGCTTTTCTGGTTTTGTACCAGGATGTTTGCAATTCTTTTATACAGATCTAGATTTTTCTGTACCTCTTTTTGGAGGTCAGGTCATGAAGGAGTTCATGATTTTAATTAATCCTCCTGTCCTTTCTTGACCTTGGGATAGTTTGGTCACGTGCCTTAAACACTTGGGGGTTTTGTGGGTTTTTTTTAGAAGTAGCCAGATCTTTCTCTCTTTTAAGTGATACAGTAATTTTATTCTCTTATTCTTGTTCTTTGCTTCCTTCACGAGCTCTGTCATTTGACAACTGCTTTTATTAACATCATCCTCTGTCTTAGTATTGTCAGCACTTCTAGTCTGTTCATTAAAATCAAATGTAGATAAATGCACTCAAAATTGATTTCTATACGTGTTTGTATGAGCAAATTTTCCTTGAAACATTCTGAAAGCTCTCAGGGCACCCTGTGTCCCACTAAGTACCTTTCCCACCTCATCTCTGGGGTGTCAAAATCTCCCTCTTACTCCCAGCTCTTGTAATGTGGGTGACTCAGGTGTTTGTTCAGTTGTGTTCAACCAGTCCTCTGTAATCACCAATTGACTTTTACAGCAAAATTAAACAACAAAGCATGCATCATGTCTGCAGTATGATTCACACACTTACTCTGCAGAGAAGCGTCTCAGGCTCCAACCTCAAAGACAGGTGAGACGCTTCCTCAAGCAGAGATCGGATGTTTGTGTTGAGACTTCGACAAGCACACTGTGTGACGGTGTGGGGTTCTGGTTGCCCTCTGCACTGTTACACCTTGTGGGGTTCATTTTGTCACCCAACAGCTTCTGAATGGATAGTAAGGATTACTTAATTACCACATCTCAGGAGGACATGAAGAATAGCACATCGTTTGTGCTGTCAGTTTGAAAGCCCTGCATACTGATGTATTAACCTCGTATTTTACACTGACACAATTGCTTCAGTTCAAAATGGCATTCCTCTAGTGACTAAGTCCTGGCTCTTATTGCATGGCAGCAGATAGATGGGAGCAAAGAGGGTGAGCAAGCAAAGCTACTAAGTTTTCACTCATGTCATCCTGGCCCACAAAACACAAATAGTGGCAAATAATTACCTGTGTGGTTTAGGCAAAGCAGCACAAAGCCAACTTAAAGCAAAGACTGTACCTGTCTGCACTGTCTGAAGGCACAGGAGGACAATGGGAAGAAGCCACATTGTCCCACGATGACCTGCCATTGTCATCCTCTGAGCTCACTGTGTGTCTTCCACTGGTTTCTCTGCAGGGCTCTGGGGCAGCTGCTAAATGAGGAACACTACAGTGCAAAGGTCACTAACTCATGAGAAAACAAAACTAGAGCAAAGTCTGAGCTCAATGTGAGCACAGGACAACGTTAAAACAGAAAAAGCCACCGTGCTGCAGCAATGTCACTCAGCTTGCATGGGCAGCCTGCCTCATGTCAGCAAAGCCCCTCTCGCCTGCATGGGCAGCGTGGAGTTGGGTTTGCCAGCGATGCTGTGACACCTGCGTGTTTCAGACTCCTCAGGAAGAGGGATTCCATAAACCAAGGCAGGTTCTAACTCAGCAGAATAACCTGTGGTTGCATGGTCAAACTTGTTTATGCTACTGAAACTCCAGATACCAGGCTGTCACTTGATGGTTTCCTCTGCAGCACCATGGTCTGCCACTATCTCCTGTCTCCCTGTCCACTGCAGGTGGCTCTCTGTCTTCAGGAAGCATGGATGAAGCCTCCCTAAAAGAGCTTTAGTAGCCAGGCAGCAAGGAGCTAAAGCAAGTGATCTGGCTCTTGCCCATGCCCCAAGGAAGGCAGAACACCCAGAGCCAGAGCTGTGTGCCTCCCCAATCTGGGCAGAAGCAGGAAATTGTCTCAGGAGTAGCTCAGGGCACCAGATTTGTAGAGCTCAGTAAGCGTATTCCAAAGATGTTGCCTCTCAGCTCTGGCAGTGCCTCAGGAAGCAAGTAAAGCACGGAGCTAATGAGAACAAGAAAAAACAAGAGGGAAAGCTGAAGCTTTTTTTCTGAGCTAGGCCTATAAGGTATTGCCCAAGGTTTTGTTCTCTTTTATTCCAAATCACTGTAGTTTGAAGTGCATTAAGTAGGGTGAAATCAGTTGTCATGCTGGTAGGTGAAGCCTTTGGATCCAGTGGAGCCGGTAAGCAGGTATCCTGTAGAGACGCAGCAGCCTGGATGGGACCTCTGGGACACACAGAATCCAGTCTCTGTCACAAGCACCAGGCCAGATCATACTGTCACCAATTCATCATTTTGCACTTTATTCTGGATGGATCTTTTTTTTTTTTGTTTGGCTCACACCACTCCATGGGGACAGGTGTTGACTGACCTGCCTGTAGAAGACAGTCCTGTCAGGTGAGTCGCCTGTGTCGGGGAGCAGTGAAGAGAAAGGAAAACCTTCTTGCCTGCTATTGATGTGCTAGTGCAGGACACAACTGTGTGACCATAACAGTGACCCATTCCTTGTGTTTCTCACCTGGAAGCACAGAAAACAGGGGCTGGCAAGACCTCCAGGATCATCCACTGAGCCAACAAAGGATCGAGTTTACCTCTATTATTCTTGGCATGTTGGAAGAGGCTCCAGTGAAGGAGCCTTCTGGGAAATTGCTTCCAGCTGGACACCACACCTGAAAAGGAGTGTTCTTATGCTGTACTGTAGGATGCGATACCGAAGTCTGGCTTGTCCACCTTTGTTCCCTAGGGCAGCCCCTATCTTGCCGCACGCCTGACAGCTACTTATCTCTCCCGCTCTGAAAGACTACCGACATTGGAGAATTCAGTGCCCCCAGACACAATTTTTCTGTAACTAGGACTGAAGCTGAGAAGGTTTAAAGAAGAATATATGGAGCAACACTACTCCATATACAAAAAAAAACATCAAAGCGCAGACCTTCTGCCTGGAAACCTTACAGCACGGATCAGATCGTAGCATCTGAACAGACTATGTGTGGGAAATCATTGGCTGAGTTTGCCTCTTTCTAAGAAAATGAGTATCTTGGCATCTAACTTGCCATTTATAAACCTCCAGGCCAGTGACAGTCTTTTAATTACCCCCCTCCCTTCTCTACCTCCTCATCAGCCTTGACAAAAGGCAGGTGATACGTGTCACACGTATTTGTTTAGGGATATTCACTCTTTTTTCACTCTCAAATGAGATTTTGTCTTCATATATTTGTAAGCTGACTGGAGGAAATAAAAAAAAAGAACAAAAAAGTAGGAATGTTTTATTTCAAATGCTGGTGTACATCAATATTGCACCTTACAGAAACACCAAGAATAAGTACATATGCAAGGAGCTTTCTGATCCTCAGCCATACACAATCCAGAATATGATACAGAAAACAGTGAACACACACTTTTTTTTTTTCAGATGAGCAGAACGGAAGCATTCAAATTAAACTAAAGTGAAGTACAATCCATATGAAGCAAACCCCCATTTTAATTAGCTGCTGTGACCTAAGCAGGCAATTTTGTGGAACATGTGGTTATTTAGCATCATATGCAGAATACTTACTTGTGTCTCAGCTTTCACCAAGCAAGCTTTCCTGCTCCCTTAATCTTCTAAATACATCCAAAGGTAGAAACTAAACAGCTCTAGAAATTACAAACTTCCTACTGAGCCAGCTGGCTGCAATATCAGGATTAATTGAAGTCTTGTTCTTCCCACTCTCATCATGATTAGTAGAGGTTCATAATATCTTCAGGTGGAAGACTTGGACAAAAAGACAGGAACCAAAATGGCAATATAAAAAAAAAACCAAAACAAACAAGCAAAGAAAAGACCCTGCTGTGCAGCCATTTTGTTTGGGGAAAGCCCGTCATTGTACAAATTCAAAACACCACCAGCAGTCCACACATACATGCTCAAGGCCAGGAACAAGACAAAAAGAAGCAGCACCGTAACTTTAAGGAATCAGCTCTCAAAAGAAGTTTAGCAGATGTGGCTAAAAACCAAAAAAAGAATAAAGTTTCCATTACAGAAACTGCACCTTGTTAGCTAACAGAAGGATCGAGAGCCACACCACTACGAATGTTGTCTCATGACCATTCTTACCCAGCGTAAGAACCTGGACAGTTTGGTATAGACACCGTATTTGCCTTTCTTTGCACATCCTTCTCCCCAGCTAACAATTCCAGTAACAAAGTAAGTTTCCTTATATCTGGTTACATGGGGGCCTCCACTGTCTCCTTGACAAGCATCTTTTTGCTCTGTCTCGTAACCGGCACAGAACATGTTTTCCGTTATCGCAAAGTTAGTGGATTGCTTACAAGTGCTCCTATCAACATAGGGGACTTCAAGCACTTTTAGTTTTTTGGATAGTCGTCCACCTTCAAATTCACGCCCAAAGCCACTAACCATCCCAGACCTTTGGTTCATCAGAACTTCATTAGCAAAGCTTGCTTCCGGGAGGCACGCTGCAATAACGTACTCAGAAAACGTTACCGGTTCCTTCAGCTTTATTAAGGCTATGTCATTGTCGTAAGTCTCAGCGATGTATTTAGGGTGAACAAGTATTTTTGCCACAGTATGCATCGTTTCAGACTGCTCTTTCTTTTCTCTGTCCACTTCACCTGTACGAGATTATTAAAAGGGTCATTAATATGGAGATAATATAAGAAAGAACAACCCTGACGAACAAGGACAGGAGTATACCCATTCCTAACGCTTTGCCCAAGCCTTTATACCATACAGGTGAACTGTAAAAATGTATTGCAATGTTTATTAGCAGCACCTGGACCAGTTTCAGTCCCAAGCTTTTGTCTATGGAGATTTTTGTACCAGTTTACATAAAGGCATAAACCAATTCAGCTAAACTAATGCAACTTTGGGTGGAAGCTCTTACAGGAGCTTGAGCCTGGCTTATATCAGAGAAGAGAAACTGGTCTGCGTCAAGGCTAAACCAGTGCAAATACAAAGCTGTGTTGATCTAGTATCATGCCTCAGAAGGGAAGCAGTCATAATTTGAGTTTGTTTCTTCTTCCTCTAGTCAATGTGTCACAGCTTTCCTGAGCATTCCCGCAGAAACAAGTCTGTACGGTTCAGATGTGCCAGGAATGATAAGCTTTCTGAAGAAGCACTACTCTGATGAACACAATGCTAGCCAACACCTCTAGAACATTTGGTTTTAATCACTTTCAACAGGCTGGCAAAGAAGAAAGGGATGCACTATTACCACCTTCCCCATCAGCTGCCCCTGTTATTACAAAGCAGGATTCTCAAAACAACAAGAAATTATAAAAAGCAAAACAACAACAAAAAACTAACAAACTGTAACAAATTAAGTAATATGAGTACATCTCACATGAGAGTTACAGCACAGAGGATTAGTTTGCAACACATGCTTAAACATCACAGGAGTAAAATAAATAACCGCTTACCAACAACAATTTTGATTTCTTTAGACTGGTTCATGCAATGAGCTGCAGTCAGTATAAAATTCTCATTCAAAATAGTTCCACCACAAAACTCTTCCCCTTCCTGATTTAACAGAACAGCCTGCAAACGAAAAAAAGTTAAGTGCACAATTAACAAGAGCAGTTTAACTTCAATGACCTATTAACAGGTAATTGATTTCTCTGCATGAAACATATATGCTTATGACTGCAACATGTACTACCCTGCAGCTCTCTCCTAATACTGCATACACACATCCACACGCTACAGATTGGCACGTACTGCTGCAGAGTCTTGACTGTCTTGATGTGATGTAGATGTTTGGCTCCCGTGTCACCTCGCTCACAGTGCTTAGTAATGTCTTCTAGAAACAAGACACTGACTGAGCAGCGAGAGCGCAGCCCCCAGATCACCCCATCCCTTGGATATACCACCCCAAAGAATTCCTGTCCAAGTTCTGTTCCCATTTGACCTACCCTTCGTGTCCAAATACAGGAACCCATTTTGCCTGACCCAAACTCAAGAGGAAAACTTAGATATGAAAGCGCGTTTGTGAAGCAAACACGTGCTTCACTGGACATGCTCTCAGGTACGCTACCTAAACAGACTGCTATCAGGCAGAACTGCAGTCTGACCTGCAAAAACGACACCGGGAGGCCAGCATGACCCAAAAGCCCTCTCTGGTGACAGGTTAAGCAGCAGCACCATCTAAAATTGCACAAAGCCTCTCATTTCGACATTGTAAGGCTGCAGTTTGCAGAACAGCACATCCAAGTGCCTCGGTTCACACCATTCAGCTGCCTCCAGCTGCCAACGGCGTACTACACGGTAACACTCAGCAGGCAACCAGGTTAAACCAACGACTGCACACCCTCCCTCAGAAACGCCTTCTGCGGACATGCAGAGCACAAATGCCACATTTACCTGCCACGGACATTCACCAAGAAGACACTCCTCACCACCTACTATCCTGGTATCGACATATGGAGTCTTGCTGCCTGTTTCATTGCCAGGACGGGCGGTTGGGCTTTCTGCGGTAGTAACAATGGCCTCCTCCAAACTTGTTCCATTTGTGGAAGGGTCATCTTGATCACTAGTTACATTGCTATTATCAGCAGGTAAAATAACTGACCTTTTTTTCCTTTTCACAAAAACTTTTCCACAAGGATACTTTACTGTAAAGACAAGAATGTTAAAATTAGGGAAGGATAGAAACGCCAGCACAAGAGGAAACTCCTTGACAACAGCCTCTCACAACACATCAGTTAATGCAGCTGTCCTGTTTTCAAAACACTAGCAAAACCTTGGCAGATGCAGCAAAGGAGGAAGATCAGATTGTTTGAAAAATGAAAGCCATTTTGTAGTCCTAAAACTTGTCCAAAGGTTCAGTCTCTGGACAGGGTTTTCAAAGCATTTAAAACATCATCTTCAATTGTTTACATTGCCATATTCATGTACTTGCTCTTACTAAAATCATCTTAATTAGGAAACTGAGTGGAGTGTTTTATTTTAGGAATAATATGGCTCGTGACAGCAATTTATTATTAGTTATAAAGGATATAAAAACAGACATCATGAGTACGTGGTTGACTTATCCCTCCCCCCAGGGTTGTTGAAATACAACAAAAATGTACAAATGTAAATAGCATAATCATAATTACTTAATGTCATCAGTTACTATTTGATTAGGTTACCTGAAATCTAAAGTAGAAAAGTTTTGGCGAGCTGCTGTTCTATATGGAGTGTGTTTAAGTAAATGAGGGAGAACTGCAATTGTTCTTCTGTCAACAGTGTAGTTTACTCAGGTAAATTCTGTGAGAGACATCTTGCAAAGGGTTACAAATCAGATAGACAGATTTTAGTAAGTCCATCACAGTCCCTCACACACGGAAGGCTTTGGAAATACAAATCAGTTGGCCTCAGTGTTAAACCTATGTCATGTAGAATACTGATGGTTCAAAAGACATTTTTTAACTGTGAAACAAGTCTCACCACCATTGCCACGAGTTTATTACGTAGCTGCATACCTGAAGAAGCACAGCGTTTGCCATCCTCTGCTAGAACATACCCTGTTGCACAGGAACACAAAACATCCTTCTGTGTGGTTTTTTTGATGCTGCAGAACTGTTCACAGTCACCGTTGTTTATTTTGCAGTATTTTGGTATGACTACAAAAGAGAGATAAGTTTGGAGAAAAACTGTAAGTAAACACTGACTTCACAGAACATCTCCAAGTTCACCAAATTAAACCGCACTCTTTAAACAGGATCTGTTTCTCCACCTGTAAAACATCTGAAGCACATCTTAGTAATGACACAGAGTGACTAACATTAGCTCGTGCCTTACAAAGTAGTCACATCCACCACATGAAACATACTTGCCAAGTCCAAGCAGGCCCAGTGGCCATGTCATGGTGAGCTTAAAGAAGTAGAAGCAAAATGACAGTGGAAGAACACTAATGGAGAAACCCAGATACTGGTACATTCTCACACTATTCCTCCCTCCTGCCTTAAAAAACTCCACCCTTCATCACTCCCCTCAGTCCCACCTCTGAAATTCAGTTCCACACCCTTCTGGGCTACTGATACACGCTCCAGCGACATCGTGAAGGTAGCAGCTGTATGCCACAGAAGTTAGACTCAGGAAGGATTTATACAAAAAAAAAGATTCCTTCTAAGGCTGAAAAAGTCTCTGCACTGTCTACTGAAATCTGCTTTCTTTGGTCTTCACTGCTGTGAGCCAAGCAGGGAGGCTGTTCTTCTGAGCTTGGAATAAAGGGTCTTTGGTATCAGTTATAAGAATCCTATGCTGCTTAATCATCATGTTTTGGGGATTCAAGCTCATGTAAAGAGGCACTATCACAATTAAGAGGGCTTTCTTTTGGAGCAAGTATAACTTCAGAGCATTCACTAACACTACCCAGTGTAGAGCCACCAGGGCTTTGTGTTTCTGTACTGTCCTCCAACTCATTGTTGACTGCTATCCTACTCTGTGCGTTTTTCCAAGATGCAAATAATGATCATTAAGAAAAAGTTATGTCTGTATCTTTCAGCTCCCTGGGAAATTCACTGCCACAGTTCTCTAAAGCAGAAACCTACCAAATTCACAGTTCTTGCCTTGATAACCATCCAAGCACAAGCAAGTGTAGGAACCAATTCCATCTTTACAATGTCCACCATAGTGACAAGGATTTGAGCTGCACTGGTTCCCATCTACAAAACAAACAAACAAATTATTGTAAGAGTGTAAGCATTCAGTGAACTCTGAAGAGGTGTTAGTTTTAATAAGCAATGTTTAATCTTTCCTTTTAAAATGTATATCCTGTGACTTGCCACATTCCAGACAGAACAAAGAGTATAAAGGCAATCATTCCAAACCAGCAATGATTTATATAAATAGCTTCAGTTTTGCAATCTGTTTTTGGTGGCTACTGTATGACAGGGCATACACAAGCCTTTTTTTTGTAAAAAGATAAAGTAATACATCATGGTCAGAGTATATATCATTTACAGTGAAGTCCGTAAAAGCAGACAGGACATTTCTACATTGCAACTGCTGTCTAAAGATATTATCTTCTGGCCTCTTGCCTTTGCCTACAATTTCTGCATAATAAAGACAATTCAACTTTTATTTCTTTAAAGGTCACCTCATCCCTTGTGCATGTCTTTTGCTTGCAGTGCTGTTCATTTAAAGAAACAGACTCTGGCATACTAATCAGAAGATAAAAAAATGCTTTACAAAGCCCTGCCAAATTCATCCATGCAGGCCAACTTCCTGTTTTGTGCTGCTTACAGTACCAAAATTGTCCCATTGTATCCACTGAGGTATGAGCTTGAGTTTCAAAGAACTAGCTCTTATCTCATGCTTCCAACATCTACGCTGGGATGTCTCATATTTGAAAGCTAGTTGCGCAGCCTTTCTTCCTTTCTGTGACCTGGATGCAACTGGCTGACCTGACTCCAGGGCGCCAGTCACAGGTATCTCACAAACTCAGTTACACATAGGACAGTGAGGCTGCACTGCGTTTGGAGGCACGTTCCACGTAGCAGCCCCTTCTCCCATCCCCACAATGGTATCTCATTCCTGCACTGATGCTTGCTGCCACAGTCTCTTCCATCCAGTGACGTGCTGTAACAAATACGTTACCTCATCACTTGACTTTGTTGGGCTCTTCTGCATTGTTTGATAAGAAAAGCAGGACATCCGGAGAAGTGACACTTGCTTAATAATGTGTTGCTTTAGAAAACATGCTCTTCAAATTTCTGTGTTTCATCACCTGTTCTGCCCCTCTTTGGAGCAGCTGGAAGAACGGCAATGCCCACTGAGGAGACAAGATGCAAGAAGCTGCTCATCCTAAGGATCCTGCTTACCACCTGCATGGCGGCTTTACCTGTCACAGGGAACATCTGTGGGGCTTTGTGTACTGACCCCCTCCTCAACATCCCTTCTGTACCCGCATGTGGCCAAAACCCACAGTGCTCCAAATGCCACATCTGTGTGGTCCACAACAGAGGCATTGAAGACTGATGTCCATCCTCGACAGAAGGAAAGCAAGATCATCATTTACCAAAAGAAAGGTAAAGACTCGAGGTCTGCAGCACAGCTCCTGGTTTCTGCGTCCTCTGCAGTGCCAGAGCACTCCGTGCTGCAGTGGTCTTAGCTAAGCAGCACGGTTAGAAACCGTACTGGTATAGTTTTTGCCTGCACTGTAGTTGCCACCATGGTAATGAGTTTTATATCAATATTGCACAAAAGCATTGCAGAATTGCCTACTGAAAAAGGAAGCAAGAAAGGACTGTTTTAGAAACTTGGCTGAGGGTAGCTGTGGTTTTCAATACTTCTAATCATCAATAAAGCATTCGTGGACTGTGGTTTAAAATGTATGAAACCGGCATTTCCGCTAAGAGCACTGGCACTGATGTTCTGCTGCTTGTATTCTCATGAGAAAATGGTTTGAAATTTTCCATTCTTGTTCACTGCAACACTGACACAGGCTTTTGCTTGAAATTTCAGCCTGTAGGTTGCAGAGTTCATCCCCTGCTTAGAGGATTGTGAAAGTCTGCATCTTCTTTGTGGCAACTGTCTTCAATTTTCTACAGGCTCCAAAAGACAAAGCTGAGCTGGTTTTGGTCAACATTTTTGAGGTACTCCTCCTAACACACAAGCTGGACATATTTTCAGGAGAACATGTTCCCAAACACTAACACATTAAAAATCTGTCCCTGCATAGTGATTACAAACACTAGAACCCTAATGAATACAACTCAGACCTTTAAGAAAAAAACAGAAAAGACTGATGGGTAGTATCTGCTAATCTACTGGCATGTGTTCCTTGAATGCGAAACAGTTCTGTAGAAAACACATCCTACAAAATGCTCTATAATATGGGCATCAGTAACACTCTGGCATGGAAGGTGACACGAAAGTGGCAAGTGACTGTGTGATACAGTTTAGTAACATGGTGTTGGCTGCAGAATTTAAGCGCCAGCCTCATCTGTGACTCTTTGCATCTCGAATTCCCGCACCCGGGGCTGCCCCTCTGGAGAACAACTGACTCGCAGAGTCACACGCCCAGTTTCTTCTTCTCACTGTCCTTTGCGTGCAAAGGGCCACTATTCTTTTTTGAGAGGACAAAGATCATCCCATGAATCGGGGGCAGCTGAACCTTGCCTTCGAATGAAGTGACTGGGTTCAAGCAACAGCAAGGCAGTATATCAGTTAGATTCCTTCTTCAGAGGAAACACAAAGCGAGGGTGTCCCACGGTAGAGAGAGAGGAAGCACAGGAGAAGGAAGTGGTTACTTAAGAGGTGCATCCTTTTTAACCTTGCAATAAGGAGGTTTAATTTTATAAACAAACACAGAGCGTTTCTTACCTACATAGACGTTCCAGAATTCCTCCTACAGGTAGGTGTGCGAAAAGGGGAATAAAAGGAGACGGAAAGAGTTAGATGAGAATTACTGAATTCTTCAGAAAAATACTAGAGCTTTCATACAGAGGATACTTGCAGATACTTTTCACTCAGAGGGTGGTGAGGCAGTGGAACAGGTTGCCCAGAGAAGTTGTAGATGCCCCATCCCTGGAAGTGTTCAAGGCCAGGTTGGATGAGGCTTTGGGCAACCTGGTGTGGTGGAGGGTTTCCCTGCCCATGGCAGGGGGGTTGGAACTAGATGATCTTTGAGGTTCCTTCCAACTCTAACCATTCTATGATTCTATGATTCTATAACAATTGTTAAAATAAATATTTAAGTTACAGGCACATACAGTGCCTTGCAGCCTGCTATTACCATTTAATTGATTAAAACCATATGATCCATCTACAGTGCCCAGCTCTACAGAAACAAGTCTCATGCATTTTTTGAGAAATATCTAAAACTCCTTAGGGATTTCATAATGTGACTCACTCAGCATAAGGCACTTGATTTCTTGCAGCTTTTCATCAGTTTTGACTGAATCTACTCATATTCCTGCAATGCCAAATTCTCAGGCTCTCTCCTCCTCTCCATACCCCCATGAATCAGGACCTCAGAAATCCTGAGATTTAAAAATATTTTGTCTGATTCATGTTCTTCTTTCCCTCTGCACTGAGGACAGGTATGCTGTCTGTCCAAGAGCGTCCTTTTCAGTGATACCTGGTCACGAGGCGGAACAGGCTGTGCTGGTTCTCCTATAGATCAGTCAACCCTTATGATCTGAAGTACCCTGGTGATGCACACATGATTTCCCACCCAGGTCATCCCTGGGCCGCTCCAAGAACATTCTGGCCATCAAATAATGCTAAAGTGAAACGAATGTGGCCTTTAACTCCAGTTTCAGGGCTGTCCTTAACAGCCATGTAGCTTCAGCTGATGTTCCCAATTCTCCTCCACCACCAAGTCACTTCAAGATTTCAATTACTGCCTTTTTTACTGACCCCTGTCCCCACAGTTGCATCATCTCTTTAACTCTTCCTTGAGCTTGGGAGCAGACCGCATTTCTGTCTAAAGTTCAACAGCCATCAGGGTAGGGAGGATGACACGAGTCACACATAAATACTTTATTCTGTGTTGGTAATTTAGCATTAAGGTATACAAGAACTGTCCACAGTACATATTCTGCCAATTCGAACACTGGAAAGGGAGCCACAAAACGACAAGCACCGCAAAGCTGCTTGAGATAAGTTAGGCAAAATTCTCCCATGAAGTTCCACATCAGCATTTGTCGTCTCAACCTGCCCATGGACTCTCCATGTAAGAACTCTTGAACACAGTCATGAGACTCAGCTATGCCACCCAGATAGAGCGACCACATTTCTAACATATGTAGGATCAAATAATTTAAAGGTCAAATAGCTCACAATGGCAATTAAACAGAACAGGTAAAAGAATGGAGGCTTTAACATGGGCTGGCTTTGCAAGAGCTAAATTAAGACTGTTACAGTATGTTTATGCCTTAGTAATCCCAACCACAGCCAAAACCACTATTTATGCTTTGTGCTAAGTGATCGAGAGCAACTTGCACATTTTGACGCCCCGCTCAAAAGACCTTAATGCTATTTTATAAACATGAAATATAGATATCGATTTTTATATCAGTTCTTTCTTACAGTTTTCTCCTGGTCTTCAAAGGCTTCTCTTGCTTCTTCTTTTGAACAGCGCTCCTCATTGCATTCTCTTTCAATATTCCCTTTCTTCAATTCCTCCAAAAAAGAGTTAGCACGTTTTGTTCTTTCCAAGAACTTGTTGGCATTTTCTTTCTTGATGAATACTAGACAGTAGAGAAGATGATACAGGTGTCAGGTAACATTTGGTACTGGTAAAGAGTCATTAGAAAGAAGTGAAATGGAAGCAAAACCAAAACAGACTCTCATCACTCTACCCGTAAGCAACATTATCTGTGAGCTCGGTCCTCACACAGACCGACAGATCTCAGGATCTCTCAGAGCAGCCTCTCTCTGAGAATCAGGGACTCCAGGACAAACTGTAGGCACCTAAAGTTCTCTCCTGCTGTTTTCAGTTTTCGAAATAAGAATATGCAGTTTGCTCCTGAGGGCTTATGTTTCTGTTGCTCCTGTTGAAGACTTCAGTCCTGAACAGAATGACTTTCCCTGAAGGCCATGGAGACTGCATTCCCTGATTTGGTTTTAAAGCTGACAACCAGGCAATACCACCACCTGTTCCAGGGGCTTGTGGTGCAGAAACTAAATGCCACACAAACTCAAGATGTAGCAACGTATCTACTGACAGATGGGAAAAGCTGTTTCACAGTCCAGCTCACGTATGGGTTCCACTGCCCTTCATCACTTCAAATCCCACTGCGCAGCCCTGGGGTCTTCCTACCCTCTTAACAACACTTCCCAATTGCCTATAGAAACATTCCTGCCTTACTGATATGTGTGCAGACAGAGCTAAGGCAGCTGCGTTCTAAGATTTAATGATGAGCAGAAGCAAACGAACGTCAGCTTTTGCAGGAAAGTACAGCCTGAGGTCAGTTCGTTGGCTTGTTCTATTTCTCAAAAGCTTGACGTCACAGAATCATAGAATGCATGAGACCTCATGCAAAGTCTCAGAAGCATGAGACCTGCTGCCTTCAAGTTCAAGATGCAGGTAGCTGTTGACTTAATGCCTCTGATCCTTCAGTTTAAGCTCAGCTCAGCCACTTGGCTGCAAGAACAACAGTGTTACCCTTCAGGGACTTGTGCTCACGTTACCAGACAAGAAAACCAGAAACAACACTGGAGTAAACAAATTACCAGTTACCCTGTGAAAAACATATATTCCAGAAAAGATTGCAGAGTTTGGAAGCTGGCATTTAATAATGTTCGAAGCACCTGGAATTTAAAGAGAAAAAATAGTTTCCAATCACAGACTGGAGTGTGGAAAACAGCGCTGCAGATGGGACTTAAAGGCCAATGGCTCATGCTCAGCGGGCAGCTTGCGCGTACCTTCTGGGGCGTTCTTCGTGCAGCTTAGTTCAGCAATAAACAAACTTGCTGATAGCAATCATATACTCTAAAGTCCTCTAAGTGAACACAGGGGACCACTCTGCTTTCACTGAAATTGGCGGATTAGCCACAAGGAGCCAAATTCTGGAGCAATCCCATGGATCCCACGCGTAATTTGAAGCCCCACTTGAAAAGGCTCCTCACAAGGAAGGCTTGCAGAAAGTGCTTGTAACTTGTAGCTCAGCAATTGTTAGTTCATTCACCCACTATCTTATTTGTCCTTAAATCCCTCTCTGCAGTGACAGGAAAGCAACAGGACGCAGCCGGTGGGGTTATCGCCTCTATATTCCTTTGCCTCTGCATCACCCACGCAAACGGATGTTTTCGTAAACTTGACCTAGCCCATTAGTCTTCTGAGGCTGGTCGTTCTCTTTCCCAAGCTTTCCGTCATGCTTCCTTCTTCAGAGACGTCAAGGATCAACAGGTGTTGGCCAATTGAAGTAGGACGTTTCAGAAACTTGTGGAAGACCTCATTGTAAAACCTAAGCGGACTGACTCACTGAAGGAAGAGTTAAGGACTTTCGAAACGCCACGTGCTGATTCTGCTCCCGACTTCGGTGCTGGCCCCAGCAGCACAAGCAGAGGGACATTCTCCCCACCATGCCCCGGCCCCTCCACGGCCAAGTGCACCCGGCCAAGCCTTGGCCAGGCCTCCCCTCACAGACATGAGCACCTCGGGCTGCCAGGGCAGCTGCCCTCCCGCTGCCAACGGCGGGGAAGGCCGGCAACCCCATTTTATAGGGCGGAACCGGGAAGGCGCGGCAGCCTGGGAAAGGCCTCGGGGGACGCAACGGTACACGGCACCCCCGGCGCTCCAGT